CCAATGAGGTAGCTCTATTCCATCCTCTATCCCCACTAAAACAAAGACTAAAATGAAGGGTTTTGTTGTATGGTTTGTTTGTTTTTAAAACAAACTCACAGAAGACATAACAAAATTTTGGAAGCTAGAAAGCACATGGCTGAATGGTAACCAACTCAGCAGACCCAAGAAAAGCTGAATACTAAGCCAGCACTGGAGAAAAGCAGAGGAGCACCCCAATTTACATTACATAACCTCAAAAGTCTCCAGAAGCTGCAGAAGTGAAGGTGGGACTAAAAGCAGGAAAGATTGGCTGAAAGCGTATTTAAGAACAGTTAATTCCCAGATTCCCTCCAGCAGTAGTGTCATGTTCAGATTGATATTGACTCACAGGACCCAGCAGACCACAGCTTGGCACCAAGTTCACTTAGTTTTATAAAAGACAAAGACAACATGCTAGCATGAGACACACTATCTTCAGAAGGTGTCGACACAGCCCACTAGGGGTCCTTTTTGGACCAACAATTAAAAGAGAAAGGGATCATGTGGGATAAGTACAGAAATCACCCTGCCTTAGAAAAACTTCCTGCTCCACAGGAACCAGTGGTGCATTATAACAGCCAAGGAGTGTAGATTCCAGGGCCCCTTGAAGGATGTGTTCCTGCTCACAAGAGTTACACACAATGCACACCAGGACATCAAGGTCTGTGTCTTTTTCATAGGCTTCTTAAGTTCATTCACTGTCCTCCTACTCTATATGCACTTACCAATCAGAGGTCAATTTACAATAAACATTATCTAAAAGCATTCTATATTTACCAAATTTCCAGTAAATGAGTTCCAGGGGAAGAAAAACCTCAAGTCACTTCCCATGAAGAAAAGGGCTCAGACCTGCTATTAATTCTGTACTTACAGCAGTGATTCTAAAGGAGGCAATTTTGCCTTACAGGGAACATGTAGCAATGTCTGCAGACATATCAAGCTGTCACAACTGGAGGGTGTGTGTGTTCTACTGGCACGTAGTAATGCCAGGGCAGGTGACAGGGATGCTGCTAAACATCCTACAAGGCATAGGGTAGCTCCCCACAACAAAGGAGTAGTTAGCCCTAAAAGTCAGTAAGCTGATGGTTGAGAAACCCTGACCTAGAGTTAAATGGAAGATCACACACTGAACACTGAGGACCACCCCACATCTCAAGCCTTCTTTCCCAAATGAGCTGCTAAAGCCCTGGCAGCCAGGCACATGCCCGCTAGGCCAGGGGTGGGAAAAATCCTCTTGGAGAAGCTCATTCAGCTGAGAGAAAAGATCTAAGAATGATCCTAGAGTAAAGGTTACAAAAGACAGAAAAGGATTTTAAGAAGATGAAATAAATAGAACACTAATTTTGTTTGAAACAAGAGATTTAATCAACCGGGGGGTGGGGGGAGGAGTTTGGAGTTGAAATAGTGATAAACATAAAAGAAGATACATGTTTAAATATAAAGAAAATTATTAACTCCAGGAAAAGCAAAATGTAATATACCAGAAAGGAAATGTAATAAAAGTATATAGAGTTCAGCAGCAAATTGCAAGTATTTCCCCATGTATATGACGCACCCTTTTTCGAAAAATTTGGGTGTCCAAAAACTGGGTGTGTCTTGGGCCAGCCGAGTGGCGCAATGGTTAAGAACTGGCTTGGGACGCCAGAGGGCCCCGGTTCCGATCCCACATATGAGGGCCAGTGACACTGCCCTCCATAGCTAAGATGCTGAACAACAGCTCAACCTGGAGCTGGGCTGCTGTGAGGCGACAGCGTAGGCTGCAGCCCCTGTGGCAGTGGGTTGCCATGGGCTACCGTGTGTAGCCAGCAGCCAGCGTGCACGGCCAGCAGCCGCAGAGAGTGGCCGTCCAGAAGCCGGCGACTGATCTGCCTCGCCCGGGAAGAGCGCAATGATGGTGCCAACTTGGGCCAGTGAAGCAACGTCCTCCACAACTAGACTGAAGAACAAAAGGACAGCAACTTGTCTGTTCCCCTTCCCCCAATTCCCCAATAAAATCTTAAAAAAAAAAAACCAAAAAACTGGGTGTGTCTTAAAAATATCTACAACAATGAGCGCAAAAACAAGTGTGAAAAGGCAGGAAATGCAAGTAAAAAATCTACAACCACTGTATAAGACGCACCCAGTTTTTAGACCCCAAATTTTTCGCAAAAGGGTGCGTCTTCTACATGGGGAAATATGGTATATAATCATGACAACATAAACACTGAACACTAGTAACCCAACCAAAATATACTGGGAGGACGGGAACAAACAGAGAAAAATGAGGGGAGTTGCCTAAAGAGCTCTATCTCCAAATCTTGCAGAGTGAGAAGTCAGTAGACAATACATACAACTGAAAAAAAACAAAACAAAAAACAAGAAATAGTGATATAAGTATAGATTTAATGATATGAGGGAAAATACCCTAAAAGAGCAGAAAAGTGCTTACCTCTGGGAGCAGAACATGGCACATGTGCATGCATGAGCACACATGTGTGTTAGCCGCGTTTTTATAACAAGTCTCACAGAACCATTTGACTTTTTAAACTCCATGCAGGCAACACTAAAATATATTTTAAAAACTATTTGAGTGTAGGGACAATTTGATATATGGGTTTGGGATCTAGTGAGCCTCCCTCAGTTTTCTTGATTTCAATCAGAACAGACTACATCCAGAAAAAAGTGTGTTGAAGCAAGTTGCATTTAAACCACTTTTCTACCCATCTGAGTAAGGCAAAAGAACAGGCTGGACAGAAAAGACCTTAAATCCTTTCCCTGCTCTATTTTTGGTTCATTCATGAAACCTTACATTAAAGTCTTATATTAAACATACTACCACTGAACACTGGTATCCTTGCCCATGGATACCACTGGATACCACTTGAAGTGTTTGTTGGGAGAGAACTTTTCACTTTACTTGCTCTTTTATTGTCTGAACTTTTATAACGAGTGTATTTTACAGATGGAAACACACACACACACACACACACACACACACACACTCTCACTCACCCCCCCTCTCTCTCCCCCCCCCCCCCGCCCCAATGATTCATTTATGACCTGATCTCATGCATCTTGACCCAGCTAAAAATAAATCTGATTGGAAAAAAGCAATATCAACATACAAAACACAGAAAAACCAAGAAAACATATCCCTAATAAAATAGTGCTCATATCCCAACAGGTAAATCTAAAAGACATAAATGACGCATACTAAGCAGCTCATGCTAAATGTAATCCCAAGCCTGGAACAAGGGAGAAATCAGTTTTCAAGTTCTCTATAGAATATATACCACTTTGATAAGTTTCATTTTAAATAAATGAAAGGTTATTCTTTAGATTGATATAATTTGCTTTCTTTAAAAGCAATAAAACTCGGGGCCGGCCAAGTGGCGTGTTGGTTAGGAGTTTGCTTGGGACACCAGCTCTGAGCAGTAGGGCCCCGGTTCCGATCCCACATGAGGGCCAGTGACCCTGCGCCTTCTACAGCAAAGATGGCGAACAACAGCTCAACCTGGAGCAGGGCTGCCATGAGTCGCCAGCAACGGCATAGGCTGCAGTGGGGCTGCCGAAAGCTATCGTGAGTGGCTGGCAGCCAGCATGAGCAGCCGGCAGCCGGTGTGAGCTGCTGTGAGCCACCGTAAGCCGCCGTCCAATGGCCAGCGAGAGACTGCCTCACCCAGGAAGAGCGCAACAATAATACCAACATGGGCCAGTGAGGCAATGTCCTCCACAACTAGACTGAAGAACAAAAGGACAGCAACTTGTCTGTTCCCCTTCCCCCGAAACCCCAACGCTGTTCCCCTCCCCCAATTCCCCAATAAAATCTTTAAAAAAAAAAAAAGCAATAAAACTCAAGTTTATCTCCAAACAACCATGATTCATGAATTTTTATGCTCCACAGTACCTAGAATAAAGCTAGGTAAATTTGTAGGTATTAAGAGTTACTGACTAATGGAAATTAGTTTAATAGATTAAATCAATGGGGGGGGGAATCAATAATGTCAAGTAATAGGTGGAAATTTTAAATTTCTGTGTAAATCCTTCAACAACGTTTTACAAGAGTTTACATTTTGATTATTCATAAATAGATTATTTGACCATGTATTAGAGGGCACTATAAACACAAACGAATGGAAGGCTGGCTTTATTTTGTCCCATTGATTTTCTTCTTTCTTGTTGCTACTCTATAACAAAATTTCCTTCTCCTTGATGAAAAAAACTCAATCAAGAATTAACCTTCACCAAACTCAGCTTTTGCTCAACTTACTTTATGATGAATCCAATCCTTACCCTCACCACATCACATTCAGAAAAATGTCATCTTTTATAAATCTGTTCACGTATATCACTTTTGATTCTCTAAACCACCGTATGAGGAAGGTAGACCATGTAATATTAGCTCCATCTTACTAATGAGAAATTGATGTGCACAGAGGCTGAGTAACTCTTTTAGGTCCTAAGGGTAGTGAGTGGCAAAGAAAACACTTGGAACCAAGTTTCCTGATTCCAAGCCCAGTAACTCTTTCCACTACACCACACTGACTCTTTGATAATAAAATGGAGTAAACCCTGAAAACCAGAATCTTGGAAGACTACAATGGGAATATAAGTTTTTTCCTTAAGTGGTTGTTTTATAATTAATATGCATTAAGCAATTATTATCAGCTTAATAGCTATAATAACTTTGCAAAATATCATCAAATATAAACCACATTTCAAGTTTTTTAATCATTTAAAACAACTAACATTAATTCAAAGACTTCAAATAGTCACAAGAATAAAAATGAAGAAACTAAATCTCTTCTTAATCATCTTTGTGACATTGCCATATCTGGTAATATATTCCTTTTGCAGTCTGATTTTAAACATAGCTCAGGGGTGTATCCTTGACAAATTTTAAATACAGAAAAAAATAAGTTATTTAAAACTACATTTAAAAAATATCATTTCCTATTTTAATACTAAAATACCAGGGGAAAAAAGTTCCATCTACTCACCTCGGTAATTGGCTGCGCCTGATGTGTCAAGTCCAGTTCTTGAGGGCGCGTTACTTTATCAATATCCAAAGAGTCCATGCTGGAGGCTGCAGAAGTGATGCTGGAACGAGAGGAGTTACTAATAGAGCGTACTTCAGCATCACTCACTGTGCCTGCTGACGCCGTTCTTCTGTGCTGATTAGTTCCTAAGGGCTTAGTATCTTCTAGTACAGATTGCTGAGCAGCCTCATCCATGCTCAAGGAGGCCTGCTCTAATTGTGCAGTGATGTCATCAAGGGAGTAGTTGGCATGTGATGGTTTAGTTATCCTATTAGACGACGAGGAAGATAATCCTTTCAAGGTGCCATGTTTTGATGTATGTCGGCTAGGAGGTAATTTCTGAGTGGCTTTTGTTTCTGTGATTTGACGCTTACTATTTCCTGCACCGATACTGCTAAGCTCCCGCTCTATCGAGCAAAGATCGGCCATTAGGGCATCCAAATCCACAGTTTCTCCCTGGTTCAGAGCTTCTGCAATGAACAACATACACGATGTTTCCAGAACACTCTGAATCAGCATGTATACATTCTATTACATATTTCGATTAATGAACATAGGGGAAGAAAGAAGTAAAGAAATTCATCCTATTGACCTAAAGCTTCTCAAATACAGTATTTCTAACAATTTTTTGTTTCATATTCCAAGAGAGAAATTTAGAAGCAAATAGTCCATTTTTTAGGATTTATAGTAATCAGAGGAGAATAAAATTATGAATTGCAAGGTAAAAATGCAAAATCATATTACTGTTCCATGGTTTTAACCACATACCCTATGTAACTTTTTACCAGAGGCTCAAAGTTGTTATACGATCAATGCCCCAGTAGGGATGTTACCTGAAGAGTTGAGGGCATAGAGAGAAATGTAAGATCTGAAAAATTACAGGTTGGAAAGTCAATTTCAAATACTATAAAGTTGACTAGGTAAAGAACATTAAATAAAGGCCAGAGGGGGCTGATTTTAAAATTACTTACAAGTAATTTCACTGGACTTTATTTCAGTGAAAATACAACAATGCAATTAAGTTTGCTGTGGGGTTCCACCTGGGTATGTACTCTGTCAATTATTAATCACTCAACTAGAAAACAATTTTAGTTATGTTCCAGTTTATTTTTTTCTGTGATCATTTGAATTAGTAATAAAATGCACAAATCAAGAAACAGAACTCAATCAAGTTATGCATATCATTTTTATGTTGAGTTATTTGGAACTGTAGTTTCATTGCTTTCACATTATATATCTTGATATATTATTATTTTACATTATGTTTCCAATTACATCTTACCATTCAAGTTGTATATAGAGAAGCGATAAGAAAAATTGGCCATGTTTGTTTCCTGGCGAAGAGGAGATCTTTTTACTGGCTCCATGGGCTTATCAGAATCCAAACTCTAAAAAAGAAAGTTTAATAAGTCGTATTAAATTCAGAGTAAGTATCTTTCCAAATACATTAAGTATAATGACTAAGTTTATTTTACATAAATTCACTCTAAAGTAAACTAGGTATATGAATATGGGCATGGTGAGATAAATAGGAAGGAACGATGGCAGTTAATTTTGTGGCTTTTCTCAAAGTAATTTGGTTTTGGTCCAGCATAGCGTCATTCTTGGCATGAAGTACGCTGAAGATAAGGCACAATGCTGGATTCAAAATTAGTGAGACCCAAGATCTTAACAGAGCGGCTAAACTTTAAACAATAATGGAATATCCTTATTCTTTTCAAGCTCTATGAGGGAACATTGTAACCCAGCTATACTGCCTGTACTAAGTCTAGAATTATACTGCACTTCAGGGTAGGGTATCTTGCAAGTTATCTCACCGCCTTTTAAATGACACTTTTTTCTAACCTTTCTACAATAAGGAAATACAATGTTTACAACAGAGAAATTCAGGGAAAGGATCAGTAGTTATTTAGTGCCTATTTAAATAAATTTGCAAATATTAGGATTAGTCTCAAAACTTTAATTTCTATCTATAATTATAAAGTGGATTTTAAATAAAAAAGAATGGATAGTAAAATCATGGAATTAGCTTAGAATGCTATCTTCTTTATTCATTTATCTCAAGATAAACTAATCCTTCAGATAGTGTCCATCCAGTTTTTAATACGATCATAGAAAAAAAGATCCACCCTCATTTAGTAAATGTCTTATTTCAGAATTTCACAGAACAGCCAGGAAATTCTCATTTAACCTCAAACCTAATTCTTCTGCTGCAATTTAAGCCCTATGCATCCTTTTCTCAGTGGAAATGAAGAATAGGTAGGTAATGTTTTCTGTAAAATAACTTGAATATAACTGAGGACACATTAAAAGCCAATTTATTTACCACTTCAAATAAACAGATACTTACTATCATTATCTGCTGTGTCTATGGTGCTGATGCAATAGGGAAAGAGCAAGAAATATTCCTTGATGCCAAGAAATCAGTAATCTTGTAGGGTGGTTTTTAACTTTTTTTGGGGGGGGGAGGGGCTGTGGGTGTCACTGAGAATTTGATAAAAGTTATGCACCTTCCAGAAAAATGCAAATACACACAAAATTTTCCAAATGATTTCAGAAGATTCACCAACACTTAAAACTTAAACCTGATTTAACATAAAGTTGAAAATCCCATTAACACTGTATGTGTTATATAGGTATATACAGTTATGGTGAACTAAAATAAACAAAAAACTTGAGGTTTTAGCTACTAACTTAGTAAGTAAAATATTTTCTCAAAATTTCTGAAGTGTTAAAAAGCAACTTGTTAGCAGTGAAACACATTACACAACAGTGTTTTAAATCTTTCTCTCTAAAGACAGATTTATATAATAAAAAGAACAGTCACAGCATTAGTTTAGAGCCAGCTTTTTTTGGTGAGTGGCTCTTCACATTTATACATCAGGGAATTTAAAATATAAGAATAAAAGGTCCGATCAGTAGAAATGCCATTTGCAGTGGAGGAGCATGGAGTCCTACTTCACCTAGAGCAACTAGAGTGATACGTACCTGTCTTTGCTCTTTTTGGCCGCCCTTCCCAAGAATGGACAATAAAATCACACTGAGTCAAGGAAAACTCACACATGTCAGCTGGCCCTCACATACTTTCCTTCACGCATTAAAATTTTCTATTTCCTCTATTTTGCTTCCTCTTTCCTTTTACTCCTCAGTGCAGAACTGCATTGCCTAGTCATCATCTCTATGCCAAAATTACTTTTAAAAAATTAAGAGTTAAATTGAAATGGTTTCACAACTACGAATATAAGAAAAGACCTTTCTCACAACAAATAATGTTATTTCTCCTGATTGGAGACAAAGAGAATGATTCTTAATGAGGTTCTAGTAGAACTGAAAGCATTATCCTCAAAATTCATTAAGCATTAACAGAATATAGTCACAAACATGTCTGCTTTTTCAAAACGATCTGGCAAGAATTACATGAAGAGTTTATTTGTTTCAATTCCAGACTGCTATAGAAACAGCTAGAGAAATAAACTGATACTTTTCTACTATTTAAGGATTCTCATCCTTAAGCAATTTTACACAAAAACTCTTCCCAGAGATATTAAAGGATGAATGAAAATAAATTGTTCTAATGTTCTCATTGCCGTGAAGTTGAAGTTGTTTTAATAAACATAACCATCTTTATATACTGAATATAGTGTATTAATAGGGATAGTAATAGTGTACACTTTTATTCTAAAAGTGACCTGGTTTTAAGAATAAGGTCATTCTTTTATTAAAAAACCCAAGATCCAATACAACAAAATGAAAAAGCTTTGCCATTCTTTTCAAATGCAGCTGGGAATAAAATTTTGTCAGTATCTGGAATCATGTAATAGAAAATATCTGCATGTGAGGATATTATTAATGTTGTAAAATTAATTCATATTTACTAAGTTTTGGAATAAGATTTGCAGAATTTAGACTTTAAAATTTTAGGCTTTAAAACATTTTAGCCAGCAATCTCAATTCATGAAACAGGGTTTAAGTAATCCCCATAGATGAACATAACCTGTCACAAGTATTATTTTTTTAAACTCCTTAAATAACCAGAGAAGATAATAACTTATTCTAGAGTTACTACTCATTTACTTGTTAACGTTTTGGACATTTTCCGTTTATAGCAGTATCTAAAAATGTAATCTATATCCATATCCTTATGACTACAGTGTAAATTTTCAGCACACAGTGGTGACTTAAAATCCTCAACCAGTTTTTCAAGCACTCTTTCTAACCTGAGTGAGTTTGTCCAGCTCCCCCAGCCAGGCTCCAAACATTTTGTCCAGGTCTTGATCTTCCTTGTCACTGTCTTCTTCAGCACCATGGTCAATTTCTTCATCTGATAGCTGCTCCATCTGAAATAGACATTTGTGTAGAATAAATCGTTATTGGTTAAAATGGAAAAATTATGCAGTGTTTGTTCTGATATATATTGCAACTCTCTGGAGTCAAATATTCAAAATTAGAGATTATATTATGAAAGGAAATTAGAAGTCCTTACTGGAGACAGGGTTGACAAATGAGTAGAAATGAGCAATTAAGTCTCAAAGTTTTAGGAAATTGCGGAAGAATGAACTGTATCAGATTATGACCAGAATCACAAGTAGTAATAATTTTTAAATTGCAGAGCACTCCCGTTAATTAGAGGATATTACAATAAAACAGTTGTCTCGACTAACAGATTCTATAACATCCCAAACACCACAGTGAAACAATTCCAGGAGACTTTAATGCAACAAGTTATTATCTTATTTATTCTGTAAAAATCTGTTTAGATACAAATAAGCATGTATCTTGCAAAAGCTTAGTCCAATAAGCATTTCAGAGAAAAGACAACACAAAATTTTTAATCTAGTTTAGTCTGTTGAATTAGTTCCTGCTTCAATCCTACTCTCACTTTCTACCCCATCTGTCTTTTAGCTTATTTCCCCATTAGTTCCTACAAAATCCAAGGAACTAGAATTAAAACAGAAATCCTTAGAAAACTAGAACTGAAAGCTTTAAATTCACATACAAAATTTTCTGTATATGGCAACTCTTCAAGTATAAGTCCCTTGAATGAAAAGATATGCTCTTTCTTCCCATTAATAAAATAATATGACATCTGAGATGGAATTTGCATATTATTTTGTGAAGGCAGGAAAAGATTATACAAAACAAAGTAAGATCAATGACTGACCAGATACTTAAAAGTCCATAAAGTAAGATTAATCTGGTTAAAATTTTTTTTATATTAAAAGCTCTGAGAAATACTCAGTAAAGCTTAGCTTTGCTTAAAACAACATATTCTAAATTTATTTGACCAGAAATCCTTTTCCTTAAAGTTGGAGTAATACCTATTAACTTTCCCAAGGACACAATGAATGTCATCATTGTACATTCTACACTCCTGACTTGTGTTTCTGAAACACAAATTTTGTTCCAGTGGATCTAGGCAATATTTGGAATACAACCTGTCAGTTGGTTTAAATAATTCCTCAGAGATTAAAGATATCCTTAATCTTAAATAAGAATTTGTAAGGCATCTTACATCTCCAAAAGAGGCAATCAACAAAATTACCTCTGTGATCCTGAAATGTGGTTATGAGATACGTAAAGAATCTAATTAGTTGATGAGATGTCATGAATTTAAAAGTTAAATCTTATTTTCCTATATAAAAATTTGCAGAATGGGTCAAATAATGTTGCAAAATCAAACTGAACTTAGTTCTAAAAATGTTGAAAATCAGACCATATCTCATTTAATCACTGAAGGGAAATAATTTTCTTAAGCTTAATAACTAAAAAGGATCACAGCTTATCAACATCTCTAATAGAAACTGATAATTCTAATTTCTTAATTTCACTACTCTAAGCACGTATAAATCAGGGCATTCTACCTTGACAAACGAAAAATGAATCAACTAATTTTCCAATTCATAAATGTACCTCTTAAAGAGATTTGATTTTTATAATTCACTTGTGTTAATACTATTACTAAGATTTTTATTCATTACTGAATTTACAGATCAATCTCAATTGATATCATTCTTCATTAAGTTATTTATCCATGAAAAACATAAAATGTTACGGTAAAGAAAAACCTCATCTAATCAGGAGTCTTAATTACTCAAATTAACAGTTGCTAGTTTGAGAACATCTAGGAGTAATAATACCCAGACTTCATAATGAAGGCCAACAAGCAACAGAACCGGGAACATAACAGTCAACTTCTTCCTGCCTAATCTTCAAAACTAAACACACTGGAATATCCCAGAAGCTGAAAGATTCTAGGAGGAATTCTGATATGAAATAATAAATAATAATACTTATGCCTTCACTTCCCTTCTGAGTATATACTCTAATTGCCCATAAGGAAGATGCTATACTGGAAAAAAATGAAACAAGAGGAATAAAATTTTACAGAGCAAACACAAAATAGTTCAAAATGAATATGAGTATTTTAAATTATCACAGAGCCAACTAGAACTATAGACTCCACATCAAAGTCTGGTGTTTTGTGAGTTTCTTATTATTATTCAAACCCAGTAATTATTTGGATTTTAAAATTCTCTTTATATATTTTCATTAATATTTTTGCTTTTATCTAGACTACTACAAACACGAGTAAAATATGAGTAGAGAACAAAGACAGAATCATAAAATAAATACTTGTAGAAATGTTGACGTTAACTCTTCAACTTTTACCATTTATATAACTTGCCAATTTTATCCTTTCTTACCACATGAATTATTTTATAAAAATTAAAGTATTTATTCTTCAGAGACTTTTTCAATAAAAATGTAGGTTCTACAACATTTAAGGGTCTAGACTCTAAAACAGCACTCTCCAGTCTCGAGTAGCTGATGTTGATCCTCTTATCCTAATGTGGCATCATTTGTGTTTACTACACACACCAAATGAGGAGCCTCCAGAAAGTTTTTTTATAGTCTCTGTGCTGTCTAAAGTCTGCAAATCTAGTAAGGAAATTCATTCTTTGTTATATATCAATGCCTGTCTCCAATTAAATCACAATTGTAAACCTGAATTTTTCCAACATAATGCCCTAACTGGAAATGATGAGACCCTAACATGCAAATAAAATACAATAGTCAGTCAACTGTCCCTCCAATCAAACAGGAGACCAAATAAGGAAAAGAAAATAGAACTTATAAATTTCGTTTTTATAAAGAATTTGGATTTAAATGAATAGCTTCTAATGTGATGTGGAAATAGGCCTGAGGACACTACACTGGCACTAGAACGAATACTATTATTCTGTGACTATTAGATTAGGTACTCTGGGAAATATATTCAAGTTTTACTTAAATTCCCTGCTCCATTACATCTATGTCCTGAAAGAATAAATGCACCCTAGCATAAATGAAAAGGTTTACTCCCCCCATAGTGTAGACTTCTTGAATATAGACTAAAATACAAAATTGGTCGCAGGTCAAGAAGGCCCTGTGTAATCCTGGCCTCCAGGGACTTTTCTGACTGACCTCTCTTCCCGCTCTTCCCTCCAGCCACACTGTCCAGCCTGCTGCTCTTGGGAGCAGGTTGGAGGGAGCAAGGGTGTGGATTCTGTCTTGACGACAGACTGACAGGTGTCTAGCAAACATCCAACTGGGAAAAAATGAGGAAGAGTTAGGACTCAGCTAATGAGGTGGTTTAGTTAGCCTGAACATTATTTCAAAATCATGTTTAATACAGAAAAATCATACATTATAGTAGTAATGATTTAACTAACATTTTAAACTAACTTACATTTATTTTATTCATGAAGTAAAAATAGAAATAATGGGGGGAATATAATCATTGCTTATATGCTGGCTGGTTTCATTTCATAGGTAACAGTGAATAATCACATTTCAATTATTATAGGTTAAAACTTTTAATATATATATAGTAAGTTCCACTACACATAACGAAAATAGTCCATTTAGTATGCCTTAGTATGAAACAATATTATTCCCACTAAATTTTCCATGGAGTTAATTATTCAAGTATATTTTCCCTATTAACCTTCCTCTTGGGAGATATTTTTGTTTACTATTTAATTTCCTCACTGTTAGATGGAATGATGATCTTTATCAAGAAGGCTGGACTTAGATTTTGAATAAATACATTCCAGGTAGGGCAAATTATAAAGAGCAAAGGAGAAAGTCTGTGTTGGTGAGACTGCCATGAGATTGACTCAAATAAAACAAGAGGTTAAGAGTGAGATTTAGAAGTCAAGGACTAAGGCAGAATCTGGTCATTTAGAACCTTCAAAGCCACGCCTTTTTTCCCAAGAAGGTAACTGGATTCCTAAAAATAGAAATGAAGTGGGTAGGGGGAGAAATGGTATTTGAGTTAAAGGACATGGTGTCAGTATAAAAGTTATTAGAGAAGGGAAATACCATTAGAAGGCTACTGTAGATATTAGGTAGAGAGACTACAAATATGGAAACTGAAGTCCTGAGAAATGCAACTTACACAAGTCACATATTTATTTAGACAGTGGCAAGAAAAATACATGGTAAATAGCCAGGGTGCCTTATTTATTACTAAACTCTTTTTGTCTCTTTAATAATTCAAAAATAATTGCTTATTGTAAAATAAGTACTCTATACTTAAAACCACGTGAAAACTCTCAGAATACAGAATGCAGAGCTGCCACTATAGCACATGCTCACTGTTCCAAAGAGGCAAGAGAAGCTTTGATTTTAATATTCACTATACATCCACTCTGTGCCAGACACTAAAGGAACAGAGATGAACATGATAGTCTCTGTCCTTAAGGAAAATATATATATATATATATATATAGTCTAGTAGGGGACAGATAACGAAACCAACACTGTTAAGTGCTATAATAGAAGTATGTTATGTGAGTGTAGTTTAAGTCAGTCTGAGAAAGAGAAAGGAAAGTTGTGATGCTTTAGTCAAGATCTAAAGAATGACTGTTCAGGGAAGAGGATGGGTGTTTTAGCCAGAGGGACCAGCACATGCAAGGGTATAAAGGTGTGAGAAAAGTGAGACACACTGAGACCTCCAAGTTGCTTAAATTTCTGAAATGCAGGGTATGTGGTGGTTTTAGTACATGCCACTGAGTGGGCTCTGACTCCTGGTCAGATGAGCCATCTCATCACAGGGTTTTCAAGGTAAGAAAGATAAAGGTTGAGAAAAGAAATGCAGCAGTGGTTTACCATTGCCTTTTGCTGCAGGATGTGAGTCCAATCCACATGAGCTTGGGGCTGTGGTGTTGCACATCACCAAACGCCTATGAAATGTAAGCGCTTTTACAAGGATGTGTGGTGTAGACCCATTGAAAATGGGGCTGGAGAGGAGGTAGGGGCAAAATTATAAGCCGTACTAAAGAGTGTGGCCATG